CGGTCCCAGATCCTTTCATATTAAAAATGTATGGTTAGATCGCTTGTTTACCGTGTATTTTGTAAAACTTTTCGTTGTTGTCGGTGCCGGGTCTGAATAGTCATAAAAACTTGAGTAACGCTATAATGTGATATGAGGGGCTCGGTAACCTTAGCACAACCGGTTTTGCTTACTGAGCAGAACAACAAGTCCATCCACATTCAAGATTCGTCAATCGTTTTATTTGTTAACATGACTACATGGTAATAACAGCAACTCGATGATTAAAAAGGAGCTCGTCTGCCTAGTGGCAAACGTTTTTGCTTGCTGAGCAGAAGACCGTGGGTTCAATCCCAAGCTCCTTCGCGTTATATGATTGTTAGGACATCAATTCAGCTTATCGAACCCTGCTGCAAACCCAACCCTATTACCCAATATCTCAGTGATTCCTCGTGGAAGTGCAGAGGTGTTCTCGGATTACATCACGTCACGTCAACACATTCCTACCACTTCCTTTCTTGACCTGTGTTCGGGCGCGGCCAGCGCTGGTATTGCCTAGTCTGAGATCACCAGTTTTTACACATTGAGGATGATTACTAGTCCCAAGCATCGTAAATTGGTTCTCTGTGTAATTACAGCTGGTCTGGCAATAACAGCGTAGCAACCGTGGGCGGTCAATCATGCTCATGCTCATGCTTTAGAGCACTAGTTAGTTTTTGACGTAGCGTTACTATTAGTCATCAGGATTTGACCACTTATAACTCTGTCAATAGCAGATGGATATTAATTCTTAACAAGCCAATCGATTGGAATGTCATCGACGAATCTGTTAAAATTAACACTTTATCAATTTTCAAAAGGTCACTATTGAAATTTGCACGAATGTGCAACTGTTGCTATAATATTGAATATAATCAACGATTGACTGAGAAAAGCGCTTTCCCTAACACAGATTTCAAAATCGAATTCACTCCGGTCTCACCGACCGGTATTTATTCAATCACCGCGTGTGGGGAGTGATGGTGTCCAATGGTCATCATCAGCAGCAGCAGCAGTGATGTCGGCACGTGGCGTTGTAGATTGCTGCCCACAAGCGCGAGCTGCAGCCCACTGAGCGGTCCATTCGCCGAAGAAGGAGGAAGAAGTTGCACCGCTACTGATTGGATTTCAGTTGTTCGTCGTGAGCCACTGTGGATCATCTACTAGGCGAGTAAGAGAGGCGATACAGAAAAAAAATCAGTAAATAACGCAATTTCGAAAAATAAGAAAATGCTGAACTCATTTGCCCCGATAAACCCTTACGTAATAAGTACATGACCCCTTACATGTATGCATTTATTTAAATCTGAAGTTTACACTTGCCCTCAAGTTTTTAGAAAATATTATGGTTAAACTTAAAACTGTAAAATTACAATACTTCCCCCCTTTATAAAGATAAACACTAATTTACTGTATGTATTGGTACTCCTGCACCAAAACCAATACATACGTTCAAATCATTTATGCATACTTATACATACAAAGGCTAAATCCTAGGCGCCTAATACATAGGTGCCACAGTAGGAAGAAGTGTTAGTTTGTTTACTAAAATGAATCGCCCATTTTGTTATGGCAAGTTTTGCTATAAGAAATGCTCCTCGTGTTTATTAGCGAAATTCACATCAAAGCTAGATTAATTGCGTAGAAAATCAGTTTGGCACGGCATTTGTGACCAGCATACACCTTCCGGTGGCATGAAACAGGTCCAAAACAGTCCAAATCCGCAGATAAAAAATTTTGTTTTGAATTTCTGTATAGCACAATAGTGAACATTAACGGCAAAGAACTCACCAACACTGGGAGACCGTGAGTTCCTGCCCACCTGTCTTAAAAACATCTCGAGTCGAGCTCTCAGTCAGTAACTCAGTCAGCACGTTCATTCTTCCGTGATGGTACCCAATACTTGTTTTGAATGACTGAGCGTACATTTTCTATGGAAAAATGCCTCAATTACATGCTGTGTGAGCGAAGGCCGAGACGGTTTTATGACAGGTGGGCAGGAACTCACGGTCTCCCAGTGTTGGTGAGTTCTTTGCCGTTAATGTTCACGAAAAGTTCACTGTTTTGCCATACAGAAATTCAAAACAAAATTTTTTATCTGCGGATTTGGACAGTTTTTGACCTGTTTCATACGACCGGAAGGTGAATGCTGGTTACAAATGCCGTGCCAAACTGATTTCCTACGCAATTAATCAATCTTTGATGTGAATTTCGCTGATAAACACGAGGAGCATTTCTTATAGCAAAACTTGCCATAACAAAATGGGCGATTCATTTTAGTAAACAAACTAACACTTCTTCTGACTGTGGCACCTATGTATTAGGCGCCTAGAGCGAAGGCAGCGGTGTGAGTTCGTGAGTGACTGAATGTTTTTTGTTGGCTATTTCATTGCCTCGTCCTTTACCGTTTGATACAAACGGTCTGTACAAAATGACAAATGACTGATAAAAGAGTTAACTAAAGAGTTCAAGTAAGAGCTGTTATCCAAGACATATCGTCCAGGACACCGACAGAGCACCTCAAAAACAGAACTCTCAAATTGCTTCCGAATTTCAACCTATCGAACTTTTTCACTGATATCGAGCTAACAAATTAATTTAATATTTACTATACTTTTGTTGTGACATCAAAAGTACCGTTTGCAATCCTACGTCAAATCTGCGGTCGTGTCTTGGATACAACCTCTTACTTTTTATTATCAACGCCGCTGATGAAAATATCTTTGAAAGAAGCCCACTACTTCCTGTCGCCTATGAACACGGGCAAATTGTACGACGCCTACTCCAATGGCTCCAAGTACTACTGACGAAGCTGGACAGCCAACCCTTCCATATTGACCACTTTGTTAAGCAGTTTTGGTGTGACTTTCTACCAGCGATTTCACAAAACTGGACCAACAAATTTATATTTTTTTGTGAAACGCACAAATGTTGGCTGCTTTTCTCGTGGTACTAGAAGAAAAAATCTCAAAATAATGTTTTATTTCAAAGTTCGAGTGGTAGTAAACGTCATTTTAACTGCTCGAATGAAGTAGTTTATTCGTTGTACTTGTTGCTTGGCTGGAAAGGAGGGTTCGTTGCGTTTCGAGCAGTCCATTGACCGCCTCCTTCAGCTCGTTATTAGGATCTACCACTGTAGAGTAGAAACACTGGAATAAGAGACCAGCGGAGACTATGTTATGATTCCAATCGAACTGTCAAAAGCAGTTCCAATCTGCAATGTTTACAAATGGTTTGCTTCAATTAGGGAGGAGTATTAAAATCGTTTAACAATTACTAATGAACTCGCTCGTCGGTGCATTGGCGAAGTCACTCGCAAGCAGTTACAAATGCAAGTGATGCCAGGATTGCTTTGATGTTTATCTGTTATCCAAATTCATGTTTTTTTTTTCTCCGCTGGTCTCTTATTCCAGTGTTTCTACTGTAGAGTCACTGCTAGCACTTGACGGATCTTCCTTCACTTGCAGCTACTTTGTAATCAGTCCTCTCGTTCATGCTTGGCATGCACAGTTGTACACACTAACTGCTCATTTGGTAGTAACTTTTCACTCAGATGTTGAAATTTATTTTTCTTTAAAGTAATTGATAGATTAGGCTCATAGTTTACTATAGATTTGCGAAGATTAGGTCAAGCTTAACATTTGAACACTAATCAATTTAACACTTAAATTCCGAGATGTGTAGTGAGCATTTCTCACCTCATTTTTACAACGCAAAAACAAATACAGTTTACTACTAGCATTAAAATCTACTTTTTTTTACATATCTATAACAAGCTTACACTCTATTCTATCTACCGCTTCAAAAAGAATTATGTTCCGTCAACTGTATGCCAAGTTATTAGCAAATGAGCAGTTCGTGACCAAAACTGTGTATGCCAAGCATGCTCTCGTTGTGTAGGAAAGTTGTTCGTAGTCCGAACGCACATTGAGCACCGAAGAAAGTTCCTCATCCGGGACTTCTTCTTCGATTTCAGCTTGAATCCAGTCGAAAGATTTCTCCATCTCGGCTAATTTCCGAAGCCGATCGTGAACTTCGAACGCCTGCATGTACTCTCTTCAGTCTCTCGAAGGCCACGTTTCTCTTCCTGATCAGCCGATCCGGTTCGAAGGACCAAATGTTAATCATTCGAAATGTTGCGGAAGTGGACAAATCACGACTACCGAGAACTGACATGAAGTTCTACCACGCGCAGTGTTCGGAAAATCATTCTCAAATCTCATTCCTTGAGCCTCCCTGTGAGAATAAACTCGCGTGCGAATGCGGCAAACAAAATTCACTCTTGAGATTCTCATGCATATTCACGCACTCATACTCACAACACCAAAAAATCATTCCAGCTTTAAACTCATAAAAACCACTCAAACTTCAATTGATATCATGCCTTTGCATGTTGTGTTAGTTTCCCAACCCCTGATGCACAAGCAATAGTAATAACAATGAATAACGCCAAAATATAAAGCAATGAATTGTATTGCAGAAAAATCCTTCAAAACCATAAACAAGTATCTTTAACTGATAAACGGAACTACACAATTTATCTATTTCAAGTTCAATAACATTCGAATAAGAAATTATCCCATTACTATAAAGGTTATGTTGGTAAACTTAAAAATCACATCGCAAAAATGACACAAAGCACACCAACTTAAGCACAGTACACAAATATCCAGAGCCGTAATGCTTCACTTTCATTCAGACGAAACCGATATAAAATCGTTCATACGTCACAGCTGTACACATTTATCAAAACGTTAGAACCAGTTTTCCCATCATCATAACGTTTGAATTTACAGCGACGATGATACCTATCAGCCGAACCCATAATGCACACAGCGAGCGTGCGCATCAAACCACGCGCATGCTACCCCACCCCAGCCCACCTTACAACAGGACCGTAAACAACGAAAGCTGCAGCGAGTGAACGAATGCAACAACAGTAGAGCAACAGGTCCGCTCTTCGAACAGGTTGGAAATCACGTTTCCAACGGTAACCAGATGGAACCCAAACAAAACCGTAGTCAAAAGCCAAATTTTCCACCCGAGGAAAGATTTTCCGTGGAAAAATTCGGATTCGATCCGATCGCAAGGAATCGAGGTTAAAGTCTTGCAACTTATCGGATTTAGTTCCACATTGGTGGCAAATTGGAACCGAAGTGATACTAATTAGTTTATAACATCACAATACCACTTCGCCATTGCCGGAGTTGCAGCGCCGCATACCAGCCAGGGGTATGTTCCTAAGGTAAGTGGCACTCGTGTCGTCGTAGCGGGTTGTGTCAATCCGATTGGTTACGCAACCTCGGGAAGGTTTTTCTCTTTTATCTTATTATGGGCCTGCACTGTACATACTTTGGCTCGCTCTGGTCCATTGGATGAGCTTTCTTTTTTTTTTTTGCTCGCTGCCCGGTAATTATGGGGACCGAGTTGAGGGCTGCTGTAGATGATGAGGAATATGGAAGATACGTACAATTTGCAAGGCCACGTCAAAGAAAGTGAATTGAACTGAGATGGTGTCACGCGCTTACCATAAGGTTGAAGCTATGTTATGCTTTCTTCGTGGAGGGTGTGGTATGCTTATTTTCTGTTTCAGTCGGCTAATGGAAGAAGATCGGTCAAAAGTGATAGTGGGATCTTTAAAAGGCATGGATAGCTTAAGGGTAACGCAGGATGATGGCATCCTGCGTTGTTTTAGCCTTTGAAGTAATAAGTTCGAATCTCATCCCCGGACAAGTTCATTCCAAGAGTGTTAAAGTGGCAGAATTGACTAAATGTATATACCCAAATTATTCCAACATATATACGCATAACTATAAGGGTTGCATAGAACATGGGAAATTATACGTATAACGGCAGTTTAGTGATGTGAAAGATTGTTATGGCTAGCAGTGCCACACGAGACTTGAAATTCGAGTTCATTGATCGGAAATGCCAGCTCATCGGATCTGAAATTAAAGTACATTAGATTTGTCCCCACACCACCTTAAATATATCCTCACGTTATGCCCTGGAAAATCATCTGAATCGGTCCCAAATTCCACCGTACCTGTCCTCAAATCATTTATGTTTGCGCTTCAATAGATCTGTCTTCAATAGTTCCCATTTCCAACTATATTAAAAATTCATTCCAGCAAAACGAAAGCCACCGAAAAGTGGCTGGACGCTCAGTGTGATGGAACGGCGGCACTTCACACCTTACCGTCCTGTATGTCCTTGTGTGACCTCAAGAACGACAACTACTATCAGCTGGTCATCGTGGATGTCCCCCTATTTGATTTCGACACCAAACCCAAGTTGAAGGTCTACAAAGGAACCAATCTCACCAGCGAGCAAAACCTACCGGGGATCCCTTCCGCGGTGGAAAGTCTCTATATCAACGAACAGGAACCTAAGATTCCCAGTATTAAACCTGTGACGGCTCTTTCTAATACACTGACTAATCCTTTCAATCTATTTGCAGTAATCGCCGTAGCCGTCGCATCCTCGGTCCTCTTCTATCGCAACATGAAACCATACTACAAATTTACCATCCCCGGAATGGACATCGATCCGCTCGAGGTCGACACATGGAAGAAGCTGCTCATCGAGCGGCCGGAAAATTACGACAAATTCATCGACAATCTCCGAACCCTTCAGCTATTCCAACTAACCGAGCAGTCCCAGGAACTCCTCTTTCTCCCCGAGGACAAACGCGCATCGTTCATCCAGCAGAACGCCAACAACGAACTGGAACGCCTATCGATCATCACCGCGATGGCCTCGATCAAGAAAGCCGCCAACGATTCCAAGTCGGCTTCCTGCTTGATCCTGGCCACCGAATCTGGTGAAATTTTGATCCTGGACACGCAAGCCTTCGTTGTGCTGCATCAGGCACGGGCCTGCAACTTTCAAGGGACACCCAGTATCATCTCGGCCACCGGCCAGTACGATATTGATTTCCGACTGGTGATTGCTACCCGCGAAGGCTCCATATGCCTGCTGAAGAAAGGCTGGCTAGTTGGGCATCACATCGTCAAGCTGGAACATCCAACCGCCGGTTTGGCACTGCTGCCGATCGATCAAACGATCGTGGTCGTTTGCATGAACAACTATCTACTATGCTATTCGAAGAAAGGCAAGAAACTCTGGTCGGTAACGCTGCCCCAGCCGGCGGTTTGCATGACTCCGGTCCCATTGCCGCATCTGGGCATCAGTCTGGTCTGCGTAGCCCTGCGTGGCGGATTGGTTCAGTTCTACTGTCAGAAGAAACTGGTTGATCAGTTTTATGCTCCGGAGACCGTGTCGGCACTGACGTTCGGCCGGCTCGGTCAAGAGGAGCACGTACTGATCCTGGTCACTTCCGATGGTTCACTAATTGTGAAAATCCTCAAACGGACGGCAGAGTTTGCGATCACAGAAAATATATACGACACCAAAACCACGAGTGAAGAAGCGTCTGGGAATTTGCAGATACCGAAGAAGACAAAAATATTCGTCGAGCAGACACTGAGGGAGAAGGAACATGCGGCGGCTATCCATAATTCATTTCAGTCGGAACTGTGGCGCATGCGGCTGACGGCAGCCCGGGCAACGGTGGACGTTATCAATTCGGCCGATAGTAACATTTCCGGTGATGTTGGCATGGCAGCGATCAAGATGGCCGCAGAAGTGCTGGGGTTGGGACCGGTATTTAAGCTTTTCTTGATTTTGGAGAATATTTCAGCACGAAAGGAGGCTAGCGGGTTGAACGTACTAATCCAGGCGGATCACAGGCATTATGTGGTGGACAGGCCGTATCTGAAGATGCCTATGCTGGTGCCGGGGGCACCTCTGAAGTTGGATTTCAAAGTCACGGTGGTGACTGATCCAAGCGATGGACTTGCGCCGGTGGACTTGACGCCGGAGAATTCCTTCATCAAAGTGTTGATTTTCAAAACAGGCCATGTAAGTGGTGTATGATTTCAAACAATTAAGGCAATCTGTAAAATTGTATTCATTTTATGAATCGTATCTGCTCCGATACCTGTGCTCGTGATGTGCGTTGGGTTGCGCCTAAAGTTATGCATATGCTCTTTTTACCGTTTCAGACCAAACCGCTTATCGCTTCAACAGTTGTGATGCCGCAGCCAGAACCGCAGATACTGGGCTCATTTTGAATGCATGCTATTTACATGTAGGAATTTCTTAGGGTTAATGTTCATTTTTGTACTTGCACTCAATGCCATGTGGATTATTTTTAAGTCGTTTTAGACCATTTTTAAGAGGGATGAAGTGGCCCCTGTTATTGACCTACACGGTAACCGCAAAATACCCAATAATGACTACAAAGTAAGCATTTTTGAGGGAAACTGGAACTACCCCTTATATGAGTAAAATTGTACCCATTTATGAGTAATAACAACTACAAAAATTAGTAGTACGTATTCATTTGTGAGTAACAAATACTCATATATGAATCCTTTAAATTTATCGAACCTCTTAACGGAATCCCTTTATGAAGAGCTTTGAGTAGGTTGGTTTATTTCCTTTAAATTCCGTTATAATTGCTTATCTTTTGACAGATACGCAAATTTCGTCTACTACTTGCAGACTTCATCAGTGCCAAGTACTCATGTTGGTGTTGAGTACTTGGCACTGATGAAGTCTGCAAGTAGTAGACGAGATATGCGTATCTGTCAAAAGATAAGCAATTATAACGGAATTTAAAGGAAATAAACCAACCCACTCAAAGCTCTTTACTCATATATGGTTAATTATTTTTAATACCAGTTTCCCTCGAAAATGCTTACTTTGTTGTCAATATCTTAGTCATTAGAGTCTTTTATAGTCATTATTAGGTATTTTGCTTTTACCGTGTACATTCGTTGGAATAAACAATATCGCGTGAGTGACATTTCATAATTATTAAATCGTCTGCCGGAAATGAAAAGATAATGATTTTGTGAAATGTTTAGACTACGCTTGATAAAATGTATTAAACGTATATATGAACTCAAGCTCTCTTTTATGGTTATTTTTATTAGGGTGGTCATTCAAGTTCTAGATAACCCGAAAACTAATTTTAGTGCACCTCATAGCAATTACATATTCTTTCGGAAAATTAAGACAGGGTTGCTTTCACTCACTTGCTATAAAAAAATTGTTTTTCGGAATTATGAAATAATTAGATGATACTGATATGTTGTACTTGTAAGTAACAAAAAGAGGGTGTAAATCCAACTTACATTTTCAGCTTTATAAGCCAAATTTTCCAGCATTGTGCTGTAAAGTAGCTGAAAAAAAGCTACAGATACAGCACAGACAAGCAGACATAACACTCGCAAGTTGTTCATCGAACAAGCATTTAACGGACAATTTAAAAGTATCGTAGTTGGTAGTACCGCCACATGTGGCGCACATAGTCAATTCCCTTGCGTTTGACGTTTACACACTACCGCCATCTGTTCAGCGTAGTGCCCACCACAGTGTACTCAACAGATGGCGGTAATGTCTTAGCGACGATGTTTTACAGTGAGAAATATTCAATGTGTTATGTCTGTTTGTCTGTGGATACAGCGTCAAGCAGAAGCTAACAAAATAGTTTTGGAGAGCGTTTACTCAACTTTTTCACAACCATTATTCAATTTGTCAGTCGCACTGAATAACAGCAGCCAATGAACGCTAATGTTACTTCTATGCTAATATTAATCAACTTTCAACTTGTAGCTGCAAAACAAAGCTAAAAAAGTGAGAAAGCTGTCTAGTGATTATTGAATAACCGGGAAAAGGTTGAATAAGTGCCTATCAAGTTCGCATGCAACTAAACAGCAGGACAAAAGCTGTATAGAAGCGTAAATGGAAGTGTAATAAGAGCTTGTTCCAACCGTCCCAACAGCTATAAGTCGCTGACTAAGTTTGCCAGATTTGCTTGTATAGAGGTTGAGTAAAGGTTGCCTCATATCGTATAACGTTTGAATACAGCTTAAGGCTATATAAATAGAGTTACCATATGGTATCCTAAAGGAGGACATGTTCTCCTTTTTCAACATTTTTTCTATATCTTCCTTTTGCCCGAACATGTCCTCCTTTTTTAACCTTGCATTTTTTCCAGTAACATATTCATAAAATTGTTTGCAGAGCTTATTTGTTTAATTATGTAGCAACCTCATCTTATCTAGCAAATGCCATTCGATGGTGGGACTAGGAGTATACTAAAGCTGTCAACATTTAGGCTGCGGTTCATTTAGTGAATTTTAACTTATATCACTTATTACTTATTTCATCACAGATGGAAAATTTTCAAATAAACCTGCTATTCTACCGGTCTTATTTCAGATAAACCAGGAATCAATTTTGATAAACAATTTCTCGAAAATCGGAGAACAACAGAGAGATTTTCGAACATTATAATTTATTTTGCTAAATTTGACATTGTGAAATAAATTATAATGTTCGAAAATCTTTCTGTTGTTGATCGTGTGATTTTCGAGAAGGTGTTTGTCAAAATTGATTCCTGCTCTGCTAGGAATGTATCTGATGTTTGGGATTTTTCGTCACATGTCTGAATTTTATTTTTTTTTTATGTGGGGGTAGTAATTAAAGACGTAGTCTTACGTCAAAAATAGCAAGTTTATTTGGAAATTTCCTATGTGTCAAATTTAAGTTAAAATTCACCAAATGGAACACAGCCACACAGATTGAATCTAACATGTGTTCGATTTTGATGTTCTGGTTCTATGGGATTTTAGGTATTTTGTTTAGGCCGGTGCCATACTGAGACCGAAGGGGCCGAAGCGTGAAATCGAATGTAAGGAATAATATCAATAATAAGAATTCTTTTGCATAGAACGCTAAGCGCGCCTTTTCGCTCCCACTATGGTAGCGGCCTTAGAGTCCTATGCTGAATCAATGGTAAAATTAACAGGTTGCTTAGATGCTTCATGATGGTTTCAATCAGCGATGAAACATGTATCCTGATTTTTGTACATGATAAAAGTTGGGATGGTTTTGAGGCTGTAACGCTGTAGTTTTTATGCAAATCAGTTAGACTAGATCATTTGCAAGTAGGGTAAATGACGGCTTGGGCAATACCTTATTCTAGTATCGTCAGGGGGTAAACAACGTCATTGAGAGCTCAATTTTGGCATGTGGATACATTGTGTTTCAGAGCATCTATTGGCCAAATTTGAGTGCTCTAGGACTTTCTTTACCCCTTACGATAATAGGTTAAGGTATTACCGAAGCCGACATTTCCCCCTATCAAAAATGAATTATGAAGGCTGGTTTGATGCATTTTTCAGAAGTATAACGAGAAGATGAATTTAATTGATAACAACTATGAACAATCTCAATTGAACCAAATATATTATATTAACAATATGATCCACTCTTTCGCTTAGCTGGCGAACCAAATTTTTAGCGATGAAAGCACCTCTGTGGCCAAAAAGCCTACCAATGTATTTGTTTATCGTCACGAGGGGTAAACCGAATGAAAATTTGTTTAATATTTCAAATGAATGTATTTTAGCATATTATTTTATTTGGTGACAACAGTGGCGTGTCAGACAAATTTTAAAGTAATATACACAATTTAATTAATGAAAATAATGTGACTCTAACTTTTGTAATAAGTGCTATATTCGCACCCCTCGATTGTAATTGAATGATTGTTGCTGACCTTTTTCAACGCTAGATGGTGCGTAAAGCAATCTTTTGCGGGTTGCCATGATATATTTGATTGAACCTTAGCAAATCATGAATTTTGTGAAAACGTTTGATAAAAACTCATTGTCCTCATTTGATATTAAGAAAAGGAATCATTGTCCTCCTTAGTCTCCAATCCTCAAATGAAATGTCCTCCTTTTCAAGTTTTTGATATGGTAACCCTATATATAAATGAATTGAGTAAAGCGTTTACATAGTGAAAATTGTTAGTTGGGAAGTATGTGTTTGACTTATAAAACCTGTCAATTTCGCTTTCATAGCGTCACAATCAGCGATCTTATGATTCGTGAGCGTAAATCACTGATAGAGACGCACTGAAAACAATATAGACAGGTTATATGTGTCAAACACATATTTCACGGCCTCTTCGTGTAGCTTACAAGTACTAACTTTCATTTTAACATCAAATGATGTCATATTTCCGAAAAACAATTTTTTTTATAGCAAGTGAGTGGAAGTAACCCTGAATTAAGGTATTCTGAACTTTTCCTCCTATGCTTTTCCTATCCTTATCCTGCTAATGCTAAGGCTCCAAAATGGCACTAATTTTTCTGTTTTTCTGTTTCTGAACTTTAGAAGTTTTCATAGTTTAAGAATTATGAATGATATCGAGATAGTTGAATTTTGGATAGCAAGATTCATGAAAAGTTACTTATTCAAAACATATAAAAATATTGAAATTTTCGAACTTTGAAATATTTTCACAGTCAATAGTTTGGACCCTGGAAATTTGTCAAGGCTGTTCGACTTGGATAAACATACAAGTGGAATTTTTCATAAAATTTCAATGCGAATAGTGTTCACGCCCAAACGCGAACGATAGTCAGTGACTGTCGTAAGCCCCACCCATTTGTTAAATTTATCTCAACCAACGATCGAGCAAGGCGAAACCAGAAGATGAAGAAGAAGCAGTACGATAGTATATAAGCAGCGAAGCTAGTGGCATTAGGATTACAAGGTGGAATTCTTCACCCACGACATTCCCGGTGAGAAACCATTCAAGGTCGTCATCAGGGGCCTACCAAACTTCGACCCGAAGTTTATCGAAGCTGAAATCAGGGACCGGTACAAGCTGGCCCCAAGTGCCGTCTATCGGATGACAAGAAGAGACGAGAATGTGAAGGCGTATCCGGATTGCCTTTTCCTGGTACACTTCCAGAAGGGAACGGTGACGCTCAACGCGCTGAAAGCCATCCGCTCCATTAATTGCATCATCGTCCGCTGGGAGCCATACCGTGGCGGCCATCGCGATGTGACTCAGTGCCAACGGTGTCTGAACTTTGGACACGGCACCCGCAACTGTAACATTAAGCCACGCTGCGGCAATTGCGCTCAAGACCACGCCACTTCCGACTGCCCTGCGGATGAAGCCGTGGCGTTAAAATGCGCCAACTGTGGTGGTGCTCACCAAGGTTCCGACAGACAGTGCTCCAAACGCGAGGACTTCAAACGC